TACCACGAGATATAAAGGATATACACACTGACAGGAATGGAGGACACGGGCGACAACAATGGAGTGATGACAATCTGCACAATACCTGCTTTGTGCTTATGAGCACTGTATAACAAATGTGTGAGCCACAATAAATAATGACTAAACATTAAAATACAAAGACTGATGAGTTTTGGATCATCTTGCACTGGGTCTGCTAAATCAAACACCTGCTCAGCTAAGGGAAGACACCAAAACACAGATACACACTTAGGGTTATTCACCAAACTGGGAACTGTTGAGATATATGTCAAGATTTTGACAAGAAATTGTAAATTTTAGGCCACAATAACCAATTAAGAAAAGTTTTCAGCTTGGCTGTATTAACTTAAAGGGACTTTAAATATCAAGAGACAGGATATAAACTAATTACCCGTTGGTATCATACTCCTGTCAAATCGCATGCCTGGAATCTCGAAACTTAGGAAATGTGTTGGAGCTGTCGGTACACTCCTTCACATATGGTGGCATTGTCCACAGATACAAACATTTTGGGAAATGGTAGTACCGTTGATTCGTATGATTTCTGACTTACCCATCTCCTTGAATCCAGAGGAAATATTATCTTTACATACTTCTATATCAATTAATAAACTACGGAACACATACCTTTTATTAGCTGCTAAAACATTGATACCTCTGTATTGGAAAACAACTCATACTCTGACGATGGATGAATGGATAAATAGAGTAGAGAATATAAAACATATGGAAGAATTATTTGCATATGCTTCTAGTAGGAATTCCCAATCTACTATAATATACGGGCCATGGATACAATATAGATCTAACGTAAAGGGAATAGGAAAAACAATTAATATAGAAAGTACCCGGATTAACTGAGTATTATTTTATAATTATGTAAATAAGGGGCAATAACTAGAACTAATATAAACTGTCTTAAGAAAAAAAAAAAAAGGAGAGTTAAATGCCTATTTGGTTTAAATCAGTTGGATTAGGTGATACTTAACCCTGGTTATTTGTTTGTTTTTTTCTTTACATAAACAATAGTCACCAAAATAACTTCAGTTTAACCCTTTCAGGACCGGACTGTTTTGGCCATGTTATACGCTGTTTTTACACTTTTGTGGTGTTTGTGTTTAACTGTAATTTTCCGCTCTCTCATTTCCTGTTCCCATACAAATTATATATTGTTTTTTTCAGGACAAAAAGGGCTTTCTTTATATACCATTATTTGTATCATCTCACATAATTTACTTTTTTTTTAAAATGATGAAACATTTAAAAAAAACATGTTTTTTGACTTTTACTTGAAAAATCTTTTACTTATCCACAAGCGAATGAAAAAAACTGCTAAATAGATTCAAAATTTTGTCCTGAGTTTACAAACACCCTGTGTTTACATGCTTTTTTGCTTTTTTTTTTTGTGTGCAAATTATAGGGCTATAAGTACAAATAGGAAATTGCTGTTTCAAAATATATATTTTTAAAATATATTAATAGTGACATTGTAACACTGTTATCTGTCAAAAATCTCTGAATCACACCACATATGTACATATTTTTGTTAAAGTAGACAACCTAGGGTATTCAATATGGGGTATGTCCAGTCATTTTTAGTAGCCACTTAGTCACAAACACTGGCCAAAGTTAGCATTTATATTTGTTTGTGTTAAAAATGCAAAAAACAATTATGAACGCTAATTTTGGCCAGTGTTTTTGACAGAGTGGCGACTAAAAAAAGACTGAACATACCCCATTTGCAATACTTTGGGTTGTCTTCATTTGCAAATGGTATGCCATCATGGGGGTAACTCTCATTCCTGGGCTACCATAAGCTCTCAAAGGCAACGTAACCAACCAGGCAATTTTCAATGTAAAAAAATGTGACCCTTATATTTGACCCTGTAACTTTCAAAAACACAATAAAACCTGTATATGGGGGGGTACTGTTATACTCTGGAGACTTTGCTGAACAGAAATATTAGTGTTTCAAAACAGTAAAACGTATCACAACAATTATATCATCAGTGAAAGTGCCGTTTGTGTGTGAAAAATGCAAGAAACGTCACTTTCACTGACAATATCATCACTGTAATATGTTTTACTTTTTTGAAACACTAATATTTGTGTTCAGCGAAGTCTCCTGAGTAAAACAGTACCCCCCCAAGTACAGGTTTTAGGGTGTCAAATAAAGGTTACAGGGTTAAATACAGTGCTAGCAAATTAAATTCTCTGGACTTTTGGCCTGGGTTGTCAGGCAGGTCCCTCAAATTGCAATCAATAAAATTACCTAATTCTGTAAAAATATTACATAAATACGCAGGTAGAATTTAAATATATATACATATTTATATATTTGAAGTCTACGTGTATATTCATGAAATTATTTATGTAATTTTGTATATGGATATATATATATAGTTCGTTTTTTTTGTGTGCAAATTATAGGGCTATAAGTACAAATAGGAAATTGCTGTTTCAAAATATATATTTTTAAAATATATTAATAGTGACATTGTAACACTGTTATCTGTCAAAAATCTCTGAATCACACCACATATGTACATATTTTTGTTAAAGTAGACAACCTAGGGTATTCAATATGGGGTATGTCCAGTCATTTTTAGTAGCCACTTAGTCACAAACACTGGCCAAAGTTAGCATTTATATTTGTTTGTGTTAAAAATGCAAAAAACAATTATGAACGCTAATTTTGGCCAGTGTTTTTGACAGAGTGGCGACTAAAAAAAGACTGAACATACCCCATTTGCAATACTTTGGGTTGTCTTCATTTGCAAATGGTATGCCATCATGGGGGTAACTCTCATTCCTGGGCTACCATAAGCTCTCAAAGGCAACGTAACCAACCAGGCAATTTTCAATGTAAAAAAATGTGACCCTTATATTTGACCCTGTAACTTTCAAAAACACAATAAAACCTGTATATGGGGGGGTACTGTTATACTCTGGAGACTTTGCTGAACAGAAATATTAGTGTTTCAAAACAGTAAAACGTATCACAACAATTATATCATCAGTGAAAGTGCCGTTTGTGTGTGAAAAATGCAAGAAACGTCACTTTCACTGACAATATCATCACTGTAATATGTTTTACTTTTTTGAAACACTAATATTTGTGTTCAGCGAAGTCTCCTGAGTAAAACAGTACCCCCCCAAGTACAGGTTTTAGGGTGTCAAATAAAGGTTACAGGGTTAAATACAGTGCTAGCAAATTAAATTCTCTGGACTTTTGGCCTGGGTTGTCAGGCAGGTCCCTCAAATTGCAATCAATAAAATTACCTAATTCTGTAAAAATATTACATAAATACGCAGGTAGAATTTAAATATATATACATATTTATATATTTGAAGTCTACGTGTATATTCATGAAATTATTTATGTAATTTTGTATATGGATATATATATATAGTTCGTATTATTTTGATTTATTTATATATATATATAGATTTATATATAATTTCATTCTAAGTGTATTTTGATATAAATATATATATATATATATATTAATATTAAAATACAGTTAGAATAAAATGTCATAGAATTATATATATATATATATATATATATAATTCAAAAAAATTTTTTATTATGTTTACGTTTTTATAATTTACTTTCATTTACTTATTATTTGTATTTTATAATAATATATATATATATATGCACATGTGTAATTTAATTATAAGTGTATTTTTTTTTTTTAAATTCTTTATTTTTCGTGCATAGGTTAGGTAAGTAACAGTTTTCTAGCGATGCCACAACAACTATCGCCAGGAGTTTGGTAGACATATAAATACATTTGTATGGCAGGAATAACTTTGCACATTTTTATATTTGTATGAGCAGGGTGGTTAATGGTCTAGCACTGTGCCAACGGGCGTGTGAGAGATTATGTTCGGAAGGAGACCTTCAGGTTAGGGGGCAAGGGCTAGTGTGCGTAATGGCCACCATGCGAGATTCCTGTTAAGTATAGACTTGCGTCTGGGTATTATCTGACTGATCGATATGATAGTGCCTGTCTAAGCCACGGGTAGGCTTTGCTTTAAAATTCACACTGCCTAGTCGCCTTTTATCTTAGGTGTATGTGTCCATTGGTTCTCACAGACTGGGATTAAACTATGCTTCTGGAGCAAATTTGGCTAATGCTGTCAGTTCAGATTGACCCTCCAAGTGGACACCTGTATGGAGATCGGTACCTACGGCTTTCTAACCGGATTTGGCCATTTGGAGAGTAGTTCGCCAACCATCCAGTCCACTCCCCCTTCGAGCAATCCCATGAGTACAATTTTGTTTGCAAATGGGTGGAGGTAGGACAGGAAAGCTGCCAGCTGTTGACCCCTCCAAGTCACCTAGGCCACCCTATCCAGGTTGTGAACTGTTTACTCCAGATTTATTATGCATAATGCTTAAAACCTTTTTTTATTGTTAGATTCAGAATGCTAAGTCTATCTGTGTTGTTACCTAGTGGTCTCTGGTGTCAGTCGGGTAGTCGTGAGAGTATCTTGTCAGGAGGCCTTGTCCTTGGTCCGTACGAGTTACTCTCGAGGGGTATTAACCCTAACCTAGGGGCTGTCGGGGGGGGGGTTGTGTTCTGTCTGGTAGTGCATATTACTTTAGTGCACTGGTGTGCCATCGCCAACTCTGATAGGCTTTCAGCGCGTCATATGGGTTCTTAGAGCGTCATAGTGACTAGTGAGATATCAACATAGCTTAAGTGGCAGAGGATGAAAAGGAATAGGAGAAAAAACTTTTAAAGAAAAGAAAATTTGCAATTTTTAGCCCTTGAGCGGGGCGGGGTAGGAGACTTCTCCCCCCACTCCCGTCATGTGGCGTGAGTGTCCATTCTCCGCGTCCTCGGGATAAACGGCTCGATCGTCCCCGGATCCGAGGCCGGGGTGGTGTTCTGGGTGTTCTTGGATGGCAGACCCAGTTTTGGTAGTAGTGCGGCAGCGTCGGGACCTGTAGCAATTCTGTACGTGTTTCCTTGATGTGTGACCAGGAGGTGGCGTGGGTTTCCCCACCAATATGGTATGCCCGCGGAGCGTAACTGGCTGGTGAAGTCGCTAAGGGTCTTTCGCCATTGGAGAGTGGCTCTGGTTAAGTCCTGGAAAAAAGTCAATTGAGACTCCTCGAAGTTGAGTGGCGTCTTGCCCTTGAGTGCCGACATTATGTGTCCCCTATCTTGGGGAAGGGTGCAGCGGACTATGACGTCTCCTGCAAGGGGAGTAGATGCTTTTGTCGGTATATGCCGGCAAGGGTGAGTTTCCTTGCCACCGCAGGGGGAAGTATAGCTTGCGTGAGCTGTCTCACATAGTGAGGTAGGTCCTCTTTGGAGACTGTGCCAGGGATTCCTCGGATTTTAATGTTGTTGCGTCTGTGTTTGTCTTCTTGGGCTGCTAGTTGTACCTCTAAGTTTTGTTGATTGTGTTGTAGTTGTAAGAGGGAGTCTTGCAGCGAGGTGATTTCTCTTTGAATCCCCTGCACTTCTCTCTCAGTGTGCACTACCTTTTCAGTGATTTGTTGCATGCTGGTTTTAAGGGTAGGTAGATCTGCAGCTAGTAGGCTTTGTATTTCCTGCAGCATGTTTTGCATATGCTGTAGGTCCTGTTTGGTGGCTGGTTCGGTGGTACCCTGCTGGGGTGTGGGTTGTAGCCATGTAACCCCGTGAGTGCTTTGCTCCCCTGAGGCAGACTCTTGTGGGGAGTCAGGGCCTTGTGCGGCTGCCATTTTGGCGGGTGTTTGCCTCTGAAGCATAATGCCTATATCAGGCTGATCTATACCTGGTGGTGGTTTCTGGGATCTGCGCCCCATCCCTGAGGTTCCTTGGTCGGAGCTGTGCCGAGATGTGTCCCACGCGTCCTCTAGGAAGTCCCCGCCTGATAGGTAATCCAGGCCGTGGTGGGCTGATGGGAGGTAGGCCCGGGCTTGTAGTTTAGGCTTTGCCTGCTTCGGGGTGTACCTGAAGGGCATCGATCGATTCCGGGGGATCTCCCCCGTATTATGCCGGTGGTCGTGTGGCTGGATGGCAGGTTTGTGGGCTGATTTTCGCCAGATTAGGTCCGTGGATGTCGGAGCCCGCAGAAATGGCGTCTGGCCCGTCTCGCTTCCAGGCTCCGCCCCCCTATAAGTGTATTTTTATATTAATATATGTATATAATATAAAAATACGCTTGTGACATACCACACTCACGGCGTGCAAGCTTTGACTTGTGTGGCTGAGGCAGAGAGGTGCGACCTCTCGTGGCTCTCGGCTCGGGTCGATACACTTTAAGGCATACTGTATCAAAGGTTGCGTGTAGGTCTCCTTAGCGTGTAGGTCTCCTTAGAGTAGATTTTATGAGACATCCCCCGGTATACCGCTCAAACAGCAGGAGCTCATGCAAGACACGTCTTGCCCCCTCCAGATCAAATGAATAAGTGCTGTAAAGACCTGGTTTTCTTTTTTCAAGACTGTGTGGCGGCCCATGTAAAACATGTCTCACCACCATGATGGTCAGGCCCTGTCCCAGGAATGGGATATTTTAATCCTGGAAGAAAATATAGATTTGAAACCTGTTGGGGAATGGGAAATTCATGGCAAATGACAAATAAAGTTTTAGTGTGTAGATAGTGTGCTCTTAATATCTAAATACTAAAATATCTGATATATTCTCCATTCAGAGTATTGCACAGTGAATGGGAGGCAAAGGTTACAATGAAACCATGTAAAAAGGGAGAAAAGGGATCTGGTCACATGAGTTTATAATCAGGGACAACACTTGCAGGTGTTAAGTTCAGTTCTTGCTAGCTGCTCACCTGCCGGGCTTCTTGTATATTATCTCTCTATGAGTATGCAAAATGTTAAGGTTGCCATAGAAACAGCTTTAAAGTGTTCCATACATGCAGCTAGTTCAATGATTATCATTAAAAAAAAAAAGAAAAACATTTTGATATGAAAATCTGCAAAAAAAATTCATTTTAATTTATTTTACAGCAAATAATATAAATTACATATAATTTGCCTTAAAACCACCAGGCACCAGCGGAATGATGTCTACAAGAAGGCTGGGGTAATTCATAAAGGCCTTAAAGAACCACTATAGTGCCAGGAAAACATACTTGTTTTCTTGGCACTATAGTGCCCTGAGGGTGCCCCCACCCTCAGGGTCCCCCTCCCGCCCAGCTCTGGGGAGAGGAAAGGGGTTAAAACTTACCTTTTTCCAGCGCTGGGCAGGGAGCTCTTCTCCTCCGATCCTCCTCTTCTCCTCCCATTCGGCTGAATGCGCACGCGCGGCAAGAGCTGCGCGCACATTCAGCCGGTCTCATAGGAAAGCATTTACAATGCTTTCCTATGGACGCTTGCGTGCTCTCACTGTGATTTTCACAGTGAGAATCATGCAAGCGCCTCTAGCGGCTGTCAGTGAGACAGCCAATAGAGGAATTGGAGGAAGGATTAACCCATTGATAAACATAGCAGTTTCTCTGAAACTGCTATGTTTATAAAAAAATGGGTTAACCCTAGCTGGACCTGGCACCCAGACCACTTCATTAAGCTGAAGTGGTCTGGGTGCCTATAGTGGTCCTTTAATACTCCACCACATAGAAAACTATTTTGACAGAAATATCAACATGAGACTACTTTCCAAAGATAAAAATGATTTGGAATTTTATTCCCAAGCAATCTATATATTACGATGTTGAAGGCACTACCTAGTTTAGTAATTTTAGTGACATTACTTCAAACATTGCCTCTATACCAGTGATATTTAGACTGTATGCCAGAAACTCAATATGCTAACTAGGATTCCCTTCTTGCAGGGGCATTGCTAGGTGGCAACAAGACACCACATATATTGATTAAAACCTCTCCCAAAAGCCTGCCCTAGAATTTACATTATTACAACAATTTTCTAAATTAACTGTACACCGATCAGCAACAACATTAAAACCACTGACAGGTGAAGTGAATAACATTGATTATATTGTTACAAAGACCCCATGTCAAGGGGTGGGATATGTTAGGCAGCAAGTGAACAGACAGTTCTTGTTTTGGAAGCAGGAAACATGAGCCAGCAAAAATATCTGCATCTTTAAAACAGCAAGTCTTGTGGGGTGTTCCCGGTAAGCAGTGGTTAGCATCTACCAAAAGTTATGCAAGGAAGGACAACCGGTGAACCGGAGACAAAGATATAGGTATCCAAGGCTGACTGATGCATATGGGGATTGATGGCTAGGCCCTCTGATCTGATCACACAGAAGAGTGCGTATCGGGGTACGTAGCCGCAGACCGATCAGAATTCCCATGATGACCCATGTCCACTGCAGAAAGGGCCTTCAATGGGGACATGAGTGTCAGAACTGGACCATGGGCAATGGGAGAAAGTTGCCTGGTCTGAGGAATCACGTTTTCTTTTAGATCAGGTGGATGGCCAGGTGTATTGTACCTGGGGAAGAGATAACTGCAAGAAGCACTATAGGAAGAAGGCTAGTCGGTGGAGGCAGTATTACCACCTACCTATAGATTATTGCAGACTACATATACTCATTCATGGCAATGCTATTCCCTGATGGCAATGTATATATGCGTAATACGTTAAGTATATATCTGTTATATGCTTAGAAATTACACTAATATACATATATATGTACATATGCATAATGCGCTCAGAAATCACAAACATTTTAAATTCTATCTGTACATTGTGGATTGCTAGTAAAATGTATAGATCAAGAGAAAAACCTTTTTAAAAAGAGGTCTTTCTCTCACTGTCAATTCTACGATGGAGACTTCTGTGCTGAAGAATTGAGTTATTGGAAGAGCAGGTGAGACTCCCTACAGACAGTCTGCCTGCACTCCAAGCATAGCAAACACAGTGCATGAGCTCAACACTTGTGTATCTATAGATGGGATATAGAAGGATAGAGGCAATATTTTTAGGGAATAGGGCTTTAATGTGGAGTGATGGGGCTTTAGTTTTGAGGGATAGAGGCAGTATTGTGGGGGATAGTGGAATTACTGTGGTGGGATAGGAGAGTATTGTAGGGGATAGGGTCTTTACATTTGTGGGTTGGGGCTTTACTAATCGGGGTAGGATTGTGGGGGATGCAGCATAGTGTAGGGAGATAGGGAGTATTGTGGGGGTAGGGGCTTTAGTGTGAAGGCTAAATTCAAAAAACACTGTGAGACACAAACCACAGATACAATCTCATACTCTCACAAACATACACATTGAACATACACACTCAAAGAAAGTTTTTTTTAGTAAAAGAGTTTCCATTGGGTGTGCGGGATCCAGTTAGTCTCCCAATCTTTAGGAGAGCTGTAGTGGATCCTAAGCCTGGGGTCCAATGTGGGCTGCTCTGATACACATGCGCATTGCCTGTACAACTCACTTGGATGCACTGTAGGGATGCCTGTTCTCAAAACCTCCTTCGGGCAATCCATATATGGATCAAAGCTCCCTTGCTGCACTTACCAGCCCCCTTCACACTTTGTACATTTATGGCAGCAATTACTCTCTGCACTGGTGCTAAGGAAGAGTAACACAGTGCTGCATTAGGGGGAGGCTGAGGAGCCACTCACCTAGCGCAATAGAATGGCCCAGGAAACCTCTTGGTATCCCGGTGAGCCAGTCTGGCATTGCCCCCATGATCTTTAAAGCAAGCTTCCCCAAACTCCGGCCTTTTAGATGTTGCTGAACTACAACTCCCATGAATCTCAGCCTATCTATTTCATTCATAGAATCATGGGAGTTGTAGTTCAGCAACATCTGGGGGGCCGGAGTTTGAGGAAGCCTGCCTTAAAGGGACTCTCTTGGCACCAAAACTAATTTAATGCATTTTATAGGTTTTTGCCTTATTTATATGCTGTATTTTTTTTTTAAATAAAAGTTTTGCAGAATGCTGCACTATAAGCCTGCCTCTTTAGCCACACACCCTCATTCTAGATAAATACTTCCTCATCAATAAGGTATTCGCACAGCTCAGCCACTGACAGCTCTAAATGAGATGAACAAAACAACCTGCATTAGAAGGAGAGGACACCCATGTAGGCATATAGTAAGGATATCACTACCTGCTAGTAGTTTCTCTGACTGTCTGCAGCCAGGTTGTGAATTAAAAACAGCTCACTCAATGCTGTTGGGGATGAGACTCAAGTGGAACTGTCTGTTATTTTTTTTTCAAATGAACAGGATATGCACAGTCAAGCAAAAATGTGGTACAATAATTATGTGGCATTACAGGTTTCGCA